CACGCAATTATATATATGCAATTGAATTTAAATTATTAAGCCACACTTGGCCACACTCTTCTTCATTTAGGGGCTAAACAGCTAAAGCACCTGTAGCATTTATTTATTATTAATTAATTAACCCCCTTTGCATCTGCCCTGCATGAGTGTGGCCACCTGCAGAAAATCGTATTAAAAGTCCAGCTCATTCCTAACCTAAAAGTAATCTAATCGTTAATTAAATCACAACACAGAGTGCAGTAAAAATAAATAAATAAACACACCAACATTTTACAACCAGCATGCAATGAAACTCGAGAAAAAGCCCGTCACACAACAACAAAGAAATAAATACCGGCCTAACCTAAAACTAGAGTCGGTTGTCCTAGCAAAACAATCTAAGTGTGTGCAATAGGTTATGTGGTTTTGATATGTCCTAGGTCAATTATTGGTTAAAGTTTTCTAATTGATTGAATTTTAATTTAAAAATATTCACTAATCCTAAGGTGAGGTGTCACTAAGTTTTCTATGTTATATATTTCTATCCTAAAATGAGCATGCATCCTAAGTCTAAGTTTTCTAAGACTCAGTCCTTAATTTTTGTCCTTAAGTGTCACTACTGTTGTATAGGGTGAAATTTTTGTTATTACTAACCCTTAGGACTTTGAGCGTGTGTAAAAGGGGTTTAAGGATCTAAAAGCAAATAAAAGTAAACCTAATAAAATTGAAATTACTACAGGGACCTAAGGGAATGGTTTACGCACACCACATCAAGGGGTCTCTAAAGGTTTCGTAAGTTTAAAAATACTCACAGTCACCGGGGGCTACGACCCAGTGGTTCCGCCCGTAGAACCTCTACCCGGTTGGATAGCGGTGACTGACGCCTTTAGCTCCTTGTGCTTTTGTTCCCTCGACCGGTACCGTTCCTTGTAGTTCATGCAAATATAGAGAAGAAAACAAGGAAGCAGGGATTAGAGGTACTTTTAATAAATAATAATAAAATAATTGAAATTTACTGAACATAGAAGAAGTACCTTTCTTCGGGCTTGAACACCAGATTTGTTGCTTGCCTTTTGGAACCTTTACTTTTGAAATCAAATTATATATTTTACTAATATTCACTTTCACTTTTCCAAATTTACACAATTTTCACAAAACTAACACTTCACCTTTCACACTTATACACTTCTCTCATCCCAAAATCATACTCTACACTTTTCTTTTATCAAAATACTTTTAAACATTTTAATATTCAATACACATAGATTTCACCTTTCACGTCAAACTTGACACCTTTCTCGACACCCATATTTTACTTTTCAAAATACACTACAATCATTTATCACATACATACAATCTCTTTCACTTTTCCAAAACACAAGCAGATCATCTTTCAATACATAATTTTCTTTTAAACATACACTTCATCTTTCAAACTTATACACAATACACCTTTTTAAATCAAATCACTTTTTATTAACCAACAAACAAACTTCACTTTCACTTTTTCAAAATATAAGCAAATCACGTTTCAATACACATTTTCAAAACATACATTTCTTCTTTCAAACTTACATGCAATTCCTCTTTCCCAAAAATCACTTTTTATTTTTCACGAGCATCACTTTTCAAAATAACCTTTCACTTTCAAAATTCATCCTCTCAAAGCACACATGAACCTCTCTTGACATATACACATACACACACAATTAACTTATCAAGATCACACATTCAAGCTTTACTTAATACAAACACATTTTCGTTATTCTTAGCATTCCGACATACACCTTTCACTCTCCAAAACTCAAAATTTACTTTTCAAAGTCAATACACTTTACTTTTGGAAAACTTCACTATTTCCTCTTTCAAAACATATATGAATTACTACATATAAACCTTACATTATCACCTTCCCAAAACAAACAAAAGTTCCATCTTTATTCTTTCCAAAGATCCATTTATTTTGATGCAAAAATTACAGCAAATATATGCATTTTCTTCCAAAGCTTATAAAAACTTCCAAACACTATCTATATATTTTGCAATAAATCTTCATGAACTTATGATTTAAAACATACAACAGATAAAAATGGTATAACATAACCTTTACAAAACTTCTTTTAGAAACAGCATAAAAATTCTCTCTTTATAATTATTTGAATCTAAAAGTGATAAGCATTGGAACTATAAACGTACTTCATTTATATGTAATTTACATGTATTGTTGAAGTCTAAGATATATCAAATGGGATGCAAATAGGCATATAAAATTTAAAATATATATATATATATATACAAAACTTTGTAAATCTCAGGCACCGGAATCAAAACAAAAAACATTTCGTTACGATAGAATTTATAGAAATAGTCAAAAGGGAAGAATTGATATGTAAGTATATACAAGTCATTTATATATTAAGCTAATAATTCCCACAACTCTTCAATACTTCTCCGATTACCTGAGTTTGCTGTCCACATGAGTAAAGAAGACAGAGATTTTGGTTTGGCTTCCTTGAGCTTGATCGGACAATGGCTGCTGCTGCAAGGGCTCGATAGGTTTCCTAAGGGTGAAATCGACAGGAGGGAAAGAGCAGGCCGGAGAAGAAGAGGGGCTCGACTTGGGCTTCACACGAGAGAGAAAGATACAGTGAGGGGAATTTCAGTTTTTTGGCACTAGCGAATAGCTGAGGGAGACGGACTGGAGAGGAAGCGATCGTTCCTGGGCTTCGGAATTTCGTTTCTCTGAGTGAGATCGTGGGTTCTTCGCAAATCAGAGAGAGAGCGGGAGTTCGGCTTTTCGTGTGGGTTAAGGGGGAGTTTGGGATCCTGTGTGAGAGGGAGTTTTGCGAACGGCTGTGGAGATCGGGCAGTTGTGCGATCTGGAGGGGAGCGAATTTCAGAGGAGGAGAGTCGGCTCTGTGCTGTGCCAACCGAGAGCAAGAAGGCGGGCTGGCGCTTCAGTTTGTTCTGTGTGATGTGCGAATGAACGGAGAGAGTAAGAGAGACAAGCTGTTCAAAATTGCAGGGAGGACCGAACCGGAGAGAGCGAACTGGGCTTCTCACGCGATCCATAGAGGGAGATCGTGGATGTTGGGATTCGGAACTACAGAGAAGGCGTGCGAATCAGAAGGTACCGAATGGGAGATTTGCTCTGTGCGAATGAGAAGGCTTTTTTGTGCGACCTGGAGTTGTGCCTAGGGACTTCTCGTGCAAATGAGGGCTGTTGTGCCTATGGACTTCTCGTTCAAATGAGGGCAGTTTGCGAATAGAATGGAAGAGGGACTGGGTGTTTAGTTCTCGCGAATCCAGAGAGCAAAGGAGCAGAGGCGACGGGCTTCGTTCGGGCAGTTAAAGGGGTAGTGGGCTTCGTGAATGAGAGCTTGAGGGACGGTTCTGATTGGAGTTTTCCAAAAATTGAGAGAGGGTGAGAGCCACGGGTTGAGAGGGAAATCTGGAATTTGTGCGAATTGCAGAGAGTGGAGAGGGGAGATTGGTTCGTGCGAACTGCAATGCATGGGGAGTTAGGATTTTTTGAATTGCTTGTTAACTGCTGAGGTCTTCAGTTCGTTCCAATAGAGAGGAGATCGGCTGAAGCTCCTTACTCGAGAGAGGAGGCTGATCGTGTTGAGTGCAGTTCGTGAACTAAGGGGGAGAGGTCATGGGGGATGAGGAGTTTGGATAGGATTTTAAACTCTTATTTAATTAGTTTAAGGTGTTAAGATTATTTAGTTTAGGTTATTAATTAAAGATGTGATTTAACAGTAAATTTATTCCATAAAGTTAAACTTAAAGTAGTGGGTTTGAGACGAGTTGATTTTGTTTTAATGGGTTCGAGACGAGTTGAGTTTGAAATTAAATTAGTAAGTTGAGTCAATTTGAGTTCAGTTTGAACTTTAATAAAATTTATGTTGAATTGATTTTGATTTAGGTTGAATAAAAGGTCGAGTCCGTGCTATGTCATTAGGTGTCAACCTAAGGGAATTCTAAAGGCGACATCTATACTAGGCTACGAATACCTAGGTGCTAGAATTGAATCCGGGGAAATTAACCTCGAATAATGAGGTCAACAGTTCTTTTACAAAACCGGAAGCTGTGGAAGAAATTATGGAAGGAGGTCCTTGGTTTATTGTCATAATTGGATTGGATAAATGGTCACCAACATTTGATCCTGAATCCCTTAAAGGTCTGTCAGCACCTATCTGGATTCGTATGCCTTGTTTGCCACTACACTGCTGGGATGAACAAAATATATGTAGAATTGCATCTATGATTGGAATTCCTCTTTATCTTGATGGTAACTCATTCAAGTGGAGTAAAAGGGAATATGCAAGAGTCTGTGTTCGCATAGACTTGGATAAAAAACTTCCAAGAGGAGTTTGGATTGAAGGTACGCATGGAAATAATCATAGAGAAGAGGTTTCTAATGAAAAAGATGAATTAGGACCTTGGATACAGGTCAAATTTCGCAAGAATAAACGTTTTGACAGAACTAAAAATTTTTCAAAACAGAATTCTGAAATCAGAAATCATAAATCTAAAATTTGGAAACCTGTTAATCTGAATAATGTCCCAATACAGATTGATTCCACCTTAGAAGAAGGAGAAATTTTTGAAGAACATTGCATGGTTGCTGAACAAAATCCTGATACTAGAGGTATTACCTTTAACAACTCTGATATATGTCTACAGAACAATTTCAGTGCTCTTGAAGAAACACTTGATGAAACAATCAAGGAAGATATATTGGAAAATGCTAGTGTTGAGGAACATATTCAAACAAAAATTCTGGTACCAAAAGCTATTCAGTTTGCTTCTCCGGAGAATTCAAACAATCAAAATTTGTTGAAAACAAATGATGCTATTACAGGTTAAGCTGAAGATATAATCAAAATAACATCAGGGAAAGTAAAATTATCAAAAGAAATCAGAGATTTGGGTCCCGTTGAGAATCTCTTTAAGAGCAGAAGAGGATTGAACAAAAACAAAAAGAAAGGTGGGGATGTACACCCTCCTTAGCATCTATGACTTCCCTTAATTTCTGGAACTGTAGGGGGGCCAATAAGAAGGAGGCTTCCCTCTATCTCAAGGAGATAGTAAAAGATAATGAAGGTTGTTTTATTGGTCTTGTTGAAACCAAAATCACTAATCTTGATAGAACTGATGTTGATAAAGTTATTGGTAAAGATTGGGACTTCTTTCACCATCCTTCTGAAGGCAATTCAGGTGGAATCATTACTTTGTGGAACAAGAACATAATTTCTTTTGAAGTATTGGATCACTCATCTCAAGCTATTATTGGCATGCTCAAATCTCCTCTATTTGGCAATTGGATGGTGGGAACTGTATATGCAAACAAAGACTATCGGATAAGGAGGAATCTTTGGGAGATGATTGAAAAGGCAACAATAGAAGACATTCCTTCAATTATTGGAGGGGATTTCAATTGTTTATTATCCAATGATGATAAGAGAGGGGGAAAGAGATTCCTTTTCTCTAAAGGTACTCAAGAAATGAAAATGTTTATGACTAACAATGATTTTCATGATATAGGTACCATTGGTCCTAAATATACTTGGTGCAACAACAAGGAAGGGAATTTGAGAATATGGGAAAGACTTGATAGATGTCTTCTCAATACCGCTGCTCTCCAAGAAGTTCCTTTGGCTCATGTCAAACACCTGGCAAGAATTGCTTCAGACCATTGTCCAATAGCCTTCAAATTGATGGATTCTCAATTTAAGTCTCATTTTATCTGATATGAAGAAACCTGGAATTCTTATCCTGCTGCTAAAAGCATTGTTTCTAATGCTTGGAGGAAAAGTGACTATGGAAATGATATGGAGATTCTACAAAAGAAACTTAAAAGATCTTTGAGGTCTCTTTACTTTTGGAGTAGGAGCAAATGCAAATGTCTCAACTCTCTTAAAGAAGAGCTAAAAATTGAAATTTCTAATCTTCAGCTGGAGGAATCATCTCTTGGTGGGCTATCAGATGAAAAACTGAAATTACTTAGATCTAAAGTTAATGATTTCAACATAACCTTGAAAAGACTATCTACATGGTGGAATCAAAGAGCCAAAGTTAGATGGCATGAAGAAGGGGATGTTAACTCAAATTTCTTTCACAATTTTGCTTTAGCAAAGAGAAATGGAAATCTTATTAGACAAATCAAGAATGATGAGAATATATTGGTAGAAGATGTTGAGCAGATTTCAGCTGTTTTTCAGCGATTCTTTGAGAAAAAATGGTATTCTAAAAACTGCAATTTAGATAATTGGCCTCATTTCCCTGAAGATAAAAAGCTCAATGATCTGGACATTAAATTGTTAAGCTCTGATTTCACTGAAGAAGAGCTTAAAACTGCTGTCTTTCAGCAAGGAAGGAATAAATCTTCGGGCTTAGATGGTGTTTCGCCTGTTTTTTTTCAAAATTTTTGGAATATTGTAAAAGATTCAACTTGGAGAGCAGTAGACAAATTCTTTAAATCTGGTTACATGATTGATGATTGGAAGGATACTTTAATAGTATTAATCCCCAAAATCAAGCATCCGACTGTTCCTTCAAATTTCAAACCAATAAGTTTATGTCAAACCTCCTACAAATTGGTTGCAACCATGCTTGTTAATAGAATAAAACTCTGTATCTCCAAATTAATCTCAGAAGAACAGATTGCTTTCATGTCAGGGAGATCCATGTCCGATCATTGCTTACTTTCTCAAGAAATCTTCAACAAGTTCAAGACTTCTAAAGACAAGAGATTTAATGGCTATAAAATTAGATATGGAACAAGGTTTTGATAATATGGAATGGCCTTCATTGCTTCAAGTCTTAAAAACTTACAAATTCCCTACTTCCATTTGCAAGGTCATTATGGAATGTGTCATGAATGTCAGATTCTCAATCATCTTAAATGGGAAACTCTCCAATTGGATTAAAGCTGGAAGTGGGCTTCGGCAAGGCTGCCCACTATCTCCATATTTGTTCATAATGTGTTTTCAACTTCTTTCTCTTGCAATAAATCAAAGAGGCCATCAATTGGGAGTTTGTTTAACACCCAGAAATCAAAGAATAACACATCTTCTTTTTTCCAGATGATGTATTAATATTTTCCAAAGCATCTTCATTAGCAGCTCATGAACTAAAAATCATTATCTCCAATTTCTGCAGTTGGTCAGGATAGAATATTAATGCTTCCAAATCCCAGATCATATTTGGGAAAATGGTTAAGCTTTATATGAAGAAACATATTAAGAAGGAATTGGGTTTCAAAGAGATGAAAGAGATAAATTACCTGGGTGTTAAAATAGCTTTGAGAAGGCTCAGATCGTTTGATTTTCAGCAAATGATAGATACTATCCTAGAGAGGTTGAATGCTTGGGGCTGCAAACAACTTTCTATGGTGGGTAAAATAACTTTTGTTAAATCTTCTCTTCTAACTTTGCCAAGTTTTCTATCAACTCATTCATTGATTCCTAAGAAAATTTTGCATCAAGTGGATCAATATTGCAAAGATTTCATTTGGCATAAAAGTGGGGGGAAAAAAGGTTTACATTATGTTGCATGGGATGTTTTATGTAAACCAAAATCTGAAGGAGGCTTGGGTATTCATTCAGCAGTACAACGAATTGGACCTCTTAGATCAAGACTTGCTTGGAGATTTATACAACATCCCAATAATCTTTTACATAGAAATATTATTACTAAATATGGTGATAATATTTTCGAAGAGAAGGAAATTGGATCTTCAACTTGGAAAATTTTACTTAATGGTGGAAAGTATCTCAAACCCATTGTCAAATGGAATGTTGTAAATGGAAGGAAGATTAATGTGATGAAGGACATTTGGTTATTAGACAAATGCTTATATTCTTGGCCAACATTTGCTGCTTGTATTGAACTTAATGACGTGAATCTGGATAAGTTTATCATGGAAAATGGAACCTGGAACAAAAATCTGCTGCAGACTTTCTTTAATGAAGACCTTATTCATATGATTCTACAAGTCAAAATTGAGCATGAAGCTGATGAAGAATATCTGGAAACCATTTTTAATCATAATGGTAAGACGATAACTATTATGGCTTACGAAGAATCATTAAAATATTAATCCAAGGAACGTGATTGTGATTTTACTGATTGGATTAGAGAAATAAAGCTTAATCCATGAGTTGAACTTTTTTGGTGGAGATTTAGTAAATTTGCTATTCCAACATTTGAATTTCTCAAATATAGAAATTTAATCCTTAATGACCAATGTCCAAGAGGATGTCATGTGATTGAGAACTATGAGCATATAATAGTTCATTGCAAATTCTTAAGAGAGAATATTTTCAGAATAAGGAAATGGGGATTTTTTAATTCCTTTGTTTCAATCTCTTGATAATTGCCTTAAAGAATTAAGAAAGCTCAATTCTCGTTTTCCTAATATGGTGAAGATTTATCTTACATCAGTTTTTGTATCTTGGAAAAATAGGAATCAATTAGTTCACGGTAATTCAGTTCCTTCTTGCTCTTTTGTAGCAGCAAATGTACTTGTTTTGGCAAAGCAAAGTTTATTTCCTAATCTAGATAGTTGGGGTGCTAATCTCTTTAGGGAGTTTTCAAATTCTTGGCACCCTCCACCACTAGATTGGATCGAAATAAATATTGATGCATCCTTATTGAAAACAAATCAAGCCGGTATTGGTGGTATTTTTAGAGACCATAAAGGAAGACTCTTATTGGCTTTTGGCAAAAAGAAGATTCATTGGGATATTTCAAAACTTGAGCTTGATGCTGTGTTAATCCTTAAGGAATTCATTCATCCTTGGATGCTTGAGGCAAAAGGTGTCATCATTGAAGGTGATAACATTAATATCATCAATTTCATTCAAAATTCTTTGAATAAGTTCAAATTATATCCGACTACAAGGTATGAGGAAAATCTAACAAAAGATCTTATTTTCCTTAATGATTTTAATAAGTTTTTTTTAATCATACTCATAGAGATTGTAATAAAGTAGCGGATGGTTGTGCTACTTTAGCTTTAAGCAATGACTTTTACTTTGATAGTTTTTCTTTTGCCAACATTCCTTCTAAATTATCTAGTTTAATTATGAAGGAATGTGAGGACTCTTACTCTTGTAACTAGTTTCCTTTTCGTTAATGCCAATTGCTATTTGCATTTAAAAAAAAAATGATCATTATCATTATTTTCTAATAATTGATAGTAAATAATATCTTCTTTGTCCAAGAATATGTATTATAGTTTATCAAGAGTTTGATTATGAAATTAATGATCTCTTTATCCAAATTAGCATAGTCAAACACTAGATAAAATACCATTTTCACCCTCCAGGGTTATATGTGATGCTTTCCTGAGTTTGACTATGATAATCATGATGAATTCAAAGTTTTGAAATTTGAACCCTTTAGAGAATCATATGTTTGCCTACTGAGGTGATATATCATTCATAGTGATGTGTTCATATTCAAATTTTCATAAATTAAACTTTCTCAAAGAAAATTAATCTTTCTCAAAACTCTAACTACACATTTTTTAATCAAACAAAAAATAGTGACTCCACTGGGGATAAATCTCTCCCTCCATCTTTAATAGAGGTTCAAATTTTGTTGTATCGGAAGTTTTGACTACCTTTCTTTCAATTGGTCGCTCTAATAATTTTTTCATGGGTGAGTGTGGCCAACATCAATTAAGACATGTCAAAAGAGAGGTGAGCGTAGGAAACCTCTATCAAAATTAGGATTTCACATTTTGCCTCCAATTTGATTGGTAGAGCGAAAGAGTCAAGCCACACTTTACAAACCCTCTAGTAAGTGTTATAAGCTTGCATGCTAAAATAATTTACAAGCATGTTAAGTTTCATAAATTATAGAAAATCCTTTAATATTAAAATCAAGGTTTCAATCCTCAAGTAGAATTCGAAACTTTTTAAAATTTCAAACAATCCCTATATTATGTCACTACACATTGAATTGTAATTCTTATAATTCACTATGGGTAATAGGCAAAACTCTGCTCCAAACTTTAATCAAAACTTTGATCTTCATGGGAAATGAAGTCATTAACATTTCATCCCTAAATCATTCGTCAGGTTTAAAGAGTCAAGTCAGCTCCTTATAATTTTCCCCCAAACATTGTAAACCTTTATATTGAATATGAATTCAATATATTGTGTTTCAAAAATAAGGGAAAATAAGGGGTGATTCTGCAATATTTTCAAAATTTCAAATCCCTTTCAAAATCATTTGAATCCAAGTCAATCATCATTATCATATGTCTTTACACAACACCCTATTGAGATTTGACATATGCAATGCAAATCGAATTTTCTTCAAATTCAATTTCAAAATTGAAATTCCTCCAGTAAAATTTGAGTTTAGGCATTTCCACCTCAAGTTATTGGAGGGATGAAAGAGTTAAACCTAATTATCAAGATTCACATATTAGTTTTCTGAACCGTCATGTTGAGTGAAAACTTAATATGTTGAGTTCCAAAATTTGAGAATAATCAATTAAGTTTAAATATGAATTTATGATTCAAGATCAACTAATTCAAATCCACATTTTTGAATTTTAGATCCTCTTCTTTTAAACATACTCAAAATCTAGGTTATGACATTTCATTCCCAAACCACTCGATGAGGTGAATAAGTTAAGCCTAATTCTTCAGATCTTCAGGTTAATTTTATAAACGGGCACATTTGAATGAAACTCAATGTGTTGTGTTTCAAAATTTAAAGAAGATTCGATCGATTTCAGACTCAAATTTGAATTCAATCTCAACTTTAATCTTAAATCAAATTTCAACCTTAAATTTGGATTTAATTTTACCTATAAATCCAAATTCAATTTTTAACCTTCAGTTTAAATTTTATTTTAACCTCTTAATTTCATGTTCAATTCTAATTTCCAACTCAAATTTAGGTGTTGACATTTCATAAAACATAAATTGATGGAATGAAAGAGTCGAGCCTAATCTTTGAGATTTTCGTGCAAATTTTGTAAACCTGCATAATGGAGTGAAATTCCACATGTTAGGTTTCAGAATTTGCAAAAGATCTTTCAATCTCAATTTCAAAATTCAAACCTTCAGTCAAATACAGACTTCGACATTTTACTCCAAATCAGTTGAGGGAGTGAAAGACTTAAGCTCAACTATTAAAATCTCCTCCTCAACTTTGTGAACTCTCTTGTTGAATGAGAATTCAGTATGTTGAGTTTCAAAGTTAAGAGAAAAATCATTTAAGTTTAGAATTCAAATTCAATTTCAAATCAAACAAATTCAACTCACTTCCTTAACTCAAAAAAAAAAAAAAATGGCAAACTTAAATGTTTGGGAAACTTATCTTCTCCATGGATAGGAACTTGAACATAGAAGAAATCATATGTGTTAGTTCAATTCAATTTAGAGTAGAGTTTTGAAATTTATAAATATCAGTTAATGGAGAAGAAATCATTGATCTATTTGCTGGTAAAAAAAAATGATTTCCCGTTGATGGAAGTTATCTTATGGTTAGGAGCTGACTCCCCCATCTCAAAATGGAGTTCGCTGCCACTCCTTTACCCAATGTATCCTCTACTCCGGAGGATAAGAAACAGAAGCTAAAGACAATGGATGAGAGGTCATCTATATCTGTATTTGGGTTAAGTTATAACACTCCTTTTATCGACAAGAGACAAAAGAATAACTAGTTTCGAAGGGTTAGAAAGAAGGTTGTTAAGGCTTAAAAAAAGTTGTTGAGTCTAAAGCCTTAAGGAAAGTCAAATCTGATGCCAATTGAGAGTTCATTGCTA